ACACAGGGCGCTGCCGTTCACACCTGCAGCACTCAATGCCGCCGCACAGTAAACGCGAGAGCGCCGTTTTAATTTCTTCTCTCGCCCCCCCGTTGGGTTTGCGGGGAGGGGATTTCAGGAGATGTGCATGACGCTCACAAAACGTACGGCAAAACTCCGTCATCATAGGAGTCAGATGTCATTTCCAGGAGGGAGGGTGGATCATGGCGAGACGATTATAACCGCCGCTCAGCGCGAAACCATGGAGGAAATAGGCATCCCTGCATCGTCCTATTGTGTCATTGGCACACTGCATCCGATTTATTCTTCTGACGGCGGATCCAAGGTGTTTCCCGTGGTTGCTGTCGCCGAATCCGCTGTAGAGCCGGTTTGCAAAAGTCCGGATGAGGTCGCTTCTATTCATTACATGCACCTGTCCCGTCTGCTTCTGGAGTCTGAGCGAACACACTGTCGTCTTATTAAAAGGCACTCTTTAACAGGTGGTATGCCAAGTTACTTTCCTTGTTTTTTTGCTAGTGAATCGCAGGCTGTGGTCTGCGGTGATGTTTGCCCCACAAAAAATACACCGTCAATTCCAGAGGACGGTGGGTTGTTTCCTATGCTGCGGGAAAATTTCCCTGGTGAACTCGTCTGGGGAATAACCGCATTTATTACATGCGAACTTTTAGTGCGTCTTTCCGCCGTGCTGGAGTTGAGTCAACTCCGTGAAGGAGACGCGATGGGTTTGCTGAGGTGCAGTTCTGTTGTTGCTCGCGACCCAGAGTGTATTTACAAGGAAAACTCCAGCTGACTCAATTACTGCAAGAGACAACAAATTGATGAGCGAGGAGGGGCGGTGGAAAAGAGAGGGAAACGCAGTGACTTAAGGCAAGGCTGCTATTTGGGTGTGCTTGTGTATGTATTTGGGGGAATGGGCAAAAAAAAAAAAAAAGGTATGAGAGTGCGTGTCTGAGGAACGAAATGGAATATGGGGTCTGTGTATTTCCGCACTTCTTTGACGGTTTCATTAATGGATTCAGTTCATTTTTATACATTTGGCACAATATTTTTTTTATTTTTATTTTTTTTTTTTGTGATAGATGCACCATAAGATGCTGGACAACCAGTGTTTTATGATGTTTTTGTTGCTAGTGTTTTGCCAATTTTTGTGTTTTGTGTCGGCTGATGATGGGGCGACGCAAGCCGCTTTAAGACGACTGCGGGAGGCGGTGACTCAACACGATGTAGAGGAAGTGAAGCGTGTGATTCGTGACAAGTCGCTTCAGCCGTCGGTGGCACTTCGTACTCCACCGCCCCTGTACTGGGTGGCCAATGAAAGAACCGACTCGGAGAACCTCGCTCGCATCACGCAGATACTCCTGGACCATTTTGGCGAGAGCAATTACGACTACGACATGTACCACCCACTAACACGCGCGGCTCACCACCATCTCGGAGGCGTAATGGCCACCCTGCTCAATTGGCCGGACACCATCAGGGAGGTTCACGCGAAGTATCTCTGGTGCGAAGATCTGGCGTCACTGCCCGAGTCCGTACGGGTTGTTATCACGCCTGAGAGCCCAAAATGCTTTCGGGATTTTGTTCGTGTGGTGGAATTTGAAAGGAGTGAGTTGACGGCAGCGGCTAGGCGTCATCAGCGAGGTGCAGAAAATGTCGCCGTCGAGGATTTTGAATGGTCAGACCCCTTCTTGAGCCCGCCACCAGGGAAGAAACCCTCAATGAAGCATTTTGTCATGAATCCACGAGCTTTTGCGGATTTTGCGGAGGCGATTACATACTATTTTTTGGGAGAGTGGGCTCCTCTATTTACCTTCATTTACAGTGCAATTGTTCTTACATTTGGATGCATGGCATGCGGTGTTTATTTTGTGGCGTCGCGGCGAGGACGATGATAATATCTGAGGGAAACAAAGTGGCTGCTCTGATGTGCATGGTGTGAAGGATGATAAAGAAAAGTTGAGTTTTCGTGAAGCGGTCTTTTTTTTTTCCTTTTTTTTTTTGTTTGTTTTTGTCCGTATGTGTGTGCGTGATTGTTGTTGGTTTACATGCAAGCAGAAACATGAAGGGAGAAGAAGGTAACAAGAAGAGAAATTATAATATCGCTTGCAGGAGTTATTTCCCATCTGAAGACGTTTGGGCTGCATTGTGGCTGGCTACTGTTGTGGTTGTCTTTGATGCCTCCTTTTTTTTTTTTTTTAAATTGCAGCTACTATTATTATTATTATTATTATTATTATTATTACTATTATTGTTTTGCGTTTTTTCCCCACTTATTGCGACGTCCCTCTTTTTATTTTATTAGTTGTTTGCCTCCGTCATGACGGTGCCGGAGGCAGCGAGGGCAAAGGCTCTCTTGCAGCTAACGGCACTTCTGAAGGGCCTGGAGGAGTTCAGGCTCCAACCGGAGAATGCGGACTTGTACGCTGAGACAGTGGTGACCAGAATGAGTTCTGAGTATTCCGACAAGGAGTCCTTTCGCGACCAGCTAATGGGTCTGCTAGCAAACATTCGAAACCTGGACGGTGAGCTTGAGAAGGTTGGCCCTTCGCTCCTGGCTACCATGAAACCAGAGGAGATGCTCTCCAGCAAACAGCGGCGGGACCGCGACCGTTTCTTGAGGAAGAGGGTTCGTGAACAGATTCTGTACGACGTGACCAGCATGCTTTGTGCCACGTGCAAACTTGTGCGGCCGGATCGTCTCAATCTCAACCAATTGGCACTTGACTCGGAGGAAAACGGGACGCATTTCGACTACAATTTTGACAACCTTTGCCAGTGTGATCACCGCAGCGACGAGGACGAGAGAAGCACATCGACGTTGTCATCGTTGGCCTCAGAGAACAACGGGAGTGCGGCTGATGAATGCTCACCACACGCATAAGCCGGCACCTTTTTTTGTTTACAGGATACGGATTTTGTGCCCTGCGCTTGGTATGTTACTAACAATTCTATTATTCGGTATGTGTGTGTGTGTGGAGAGGGGAGGGGGGTTGGTTTTTGGATCGTTGCGTGACGACGTCCACTTCTTTCTCTTTTTGAACGCGTTCTTTTTTATTTTTTTATTTTTCTTCTTGCGGATGAGGAGGGATGCTTGGAGGGCGGGCGTGGATCCTGCGAGAATGAACACAGGAGAGGTCGATGGTGTGGGAGACGGTAACGAGTCGTGCCGGGAGGAGTTGGCGAGCGCGGCCTCGCGTCAAACCGTTCCACCTCGACGACCGACGGACGAGGAGGGGACGGACGTTATTGCACAGGAGGCCCGTGAACTTATTGAACGGATGCGTGTGGAATTGAGTCAGTTAAGAGGTTCCGTTGATCTTCGTGAGAATACGGAGCGTTTGATGTCCCTCAGGGCTGCGCGCCATTTGATGGCTTATAAGCGCCGATCCGACGCTGAGAATCAGCAGCCAGAGAATGTTGCAGAGTTTCAGCGAATTGCACAAAATGAATTTTTTTTTGTTCCCATGGCGACGGCACCGATGACACGTCTCACTGTGTGTAGCCACCAGGAGAAGGGGGCGCGGCAAAAACGATTTAAGCAGCGAAGGATTGACGCCGGACCCTCTCAGGACTCTCCTCCGTGGAATTCCTCTACAAGTCTTCAGAATAGTGACAAAACCACGGCGAAAAAGGTACCCGGTTCAACTGTTTCAGTTCGGGATTGCCCGTTGGCTCCCACGAAGGGGATTGCACCAACTGCCCACACGTTAGCTGAGTTTAATAGGGCCAGTAACTGCTTGGAACGGACCTCTGAAGAAGAGGTCGACGATTTAACTGATAGAAAGGGGGTTGCTTCCCGGGTTGACGAGATATGGGTCCGTGACTATTTACGACGGCTTAACATTGTGACACGTGGGCCAACGGAGTCGGAGGGACGCATCGATGATCCTGTGCTGAATGGAGTTGCGCTGCATCACCTTGTGAGTATTGCGTTGAATAGGGATTTAAAGGAAGGGCGTGCCACACACCCCGCGATTGTGTTAAAACCTCAAAACTTGGACGATGTTCGGTTGAATTATGTTGTGGCTTTGAATCTCTTGCGGGCTGCGGAGAATGACGCGACTTTACAAATCCCTAGAGAATGTCGTCTCATACGCCCAGAGAGTGTAATTTTGAGAGGGGATTCAGTAGCACTTTTTACTTTAATGCGCACAGTTGTCGATGCGTATTTGCCGATAGCCTGCGAAGAGCTTTGGGCAGCTCCGTCACTGACATGGCAGCCTCACCCAGATGGAGGGGGTTACACACCGAGCGCGATGCGTTCTCTTGAGTTGGAAGTGTGTGCTTTTTTGCAGTCTCAGAATGTGTTGGCTGACCCTGTTGTGCATCAGTTACCACCTGATGATGCTCCTGTTCCAGACGCCCTTAGTGCGCCCTTTCTTGCACCGCGGAGAAAGCTGTGGTGCATGCGGACTGAGGGATTCCCTTCATTGTATATTCCTTCTGTTTTCCCGTTTTTCACGAATGGCACGGCTTTGTGCGATCTTGTTGGGAGGGTCACGGGTAACCGTCTTTCTGTTTACAGGAATCCCAGGGTGAAATCCAACTGTATGGAGAATATTCAGGCGGCGTTTACGGTGCTGCAGAGATATTGCCCCACAAAGATGAGTCCGTTTTTTATTGAATCACCTGAATGCGTTTTCTATGGGGATCGACGATACATCTTGCTGCTCCTAGAGGACATAATGCGGATGGCCCATGGTGTCCCTCCGCGGCGGCACGCTCCACGCTTAACCGATACACCGCACTTTGGACGACAACGTTCCTCTCAGGTTCCACATACCTTAACTGTGGGGGTGACGCAGTCGTCGAGCTCGGCGTCAATGCCTGAGGTGCAGAAACAGCAGCGTTTGGGTGAGTTGGCGTCAAAGCTCTTCGAAAAGAATCCTGGCAAAGAAGAAGGCTTACGAGACCCGGATAGGGCAACACCGCGGTGCGTCATTGCCTCACCGCTTTCGGAAGGCCGGCGGGCAGGGCGCCCGACTCAGGCCAGGCAAGTACCCTTTTCTTCTGCACCGTTGGTTGAAACGAATATCACGTTAGGTGCACTGGATACGCCTGTTGCCGTTTTGAACGGCGTGGAGTACATGGATGACGAGGTAGCGATGATGCAAAAGTGGCTTATTGAGGTTCTTGGCCCGGGCTTTCATTACACCGCTGCGGACCATTCTTTTTCCGTCTCTTCTCGCGATCTACAGCTGGGCGGAACGTCCCTCATATTTTCTGATGGTGTTGTTTTGGCGCACATGATACGTCTTCTGGAGCGGCGTCGCTGCGTGGAGCTTGAGTCAATAGAAATGCATGCGAAGGCCACGGCAGCAAAGCGACGTAATATTAAGAAGTGCGTTTCATTTTTGCAGACTGAGAAGCGTGCTTTGCTCAATGTGCCGCTACTGGACGAGATACTTCTTGCCGGCGATCGCCTTGGCGTGCTGTACGTTGTGCAATGCCTTAGGAATACCTATCGCTTTGCCGTGCGAGTATAGAGAGAGACCGCGTCTTTTTTTTTTGCTTATGCATACGCACAAGCGCAAATGGTTTTCTTACAGTTTTCTTTTCTTTTTTTGTATGTTGTGGGCTGCTGCCATCTTTTTTTTTTTTTGTTGTTGTTGTTTGGAATCTCTCACTTTTTGTACTCAAGTTTTTTTGTTTTTCGTTGCCTGATTGAGGAAATAATATTTTGACCGATAAAAAGACAGAACATGAGAGGACCTTACCAATGTAAGTTGGCATTGACATTGGGACATTGTTGACACTGCCACTACTGGCTTGACGGTTTCACGGTACAAGCATCTATTTTAAAGAGCAGGATCCCGAGAAATGATAGACCCTTTGTGTATTTTCCTTGTGCCTTCCCCGCTCAATTCAACGCCTCACGTTGCACGGTAACATGTGCCCCCCCGATCTCATGGTGTTACAACTGCGTGCCTCAGCAAGACGCAGCCGGTCCGCGCACTGGTTGATGCCGTCAGCCCTGTACAAACAGAAACAATCCCGTGCGGGAAACATTGTTGGTTTTTGGCTTTCCCCGACAATACGTGGCAATTGGCCCTGGCAACACTTTGGTGCAGCCAACCATTAAATTAAAAGGGCATAAAATGCATCTTCTACAAACCGTGTGCAAGCAAGAAAGGCGAAAAAACAAAACAAAAAAACGTCTGGAAACTAATGAAGGAATGCGGGGCTAAAACTTTTTTTTTTTTTTTTTTGAGCTTGCGGGAGGAATATGTGACCAGATGGGGCCGAACCGATGATAACGCGTCTCGGATGCATTCCTTGGCTTTTTATTGAAAGCCTGATGTTTGTTGTTAACGGTATCGCGTTGGAGGGTGGCAAGTGCAGCTTTTGTTTCATCTGTTGTCCCAGTCACCTCCTCGGTGACTCTTCACGCGGAGATGAGTCCGGCAGCTGCGGGGGCACTTGTAATGACTGCCACTTCGTGAGCTCACAACGAGCCTGGCTGTCATGGATGAACTTGGGAACCGTTTGGTTTACTGGTGTGCGTGTATGTGTTTGTGTGCGTTGGGTGAATTTTCTTTGAATTATGGGGGATGTTGGGTACAGTGAACCAAGCTGTTGCCTCCCACTGTGCTTTGCCCTTTCTTCTTTCTGGGGGCATGTGACGAGGCCTCACCCAGGCACAATATTTGACTTTGTTTATTGTGCAATTTTCTTGTAGGTCCGATTGTTTCAACTCTCCACTTTGTGGTGAAGCCGACCTTACTCCACTTTTTTTTTTTTCTGGGGGTGTGAACTGGTTTCTCTTTAACAGGAAAGCGCGCGAAATCAGGCAGGTGATAAATGACGACGAATCCGGACATTGAGTCGGATATCCCACATGAGGTGTACTCCTTCTTCAGGGCTCTGAACAAGGCGGTTGACTCGTGGGACACAAGCCTTCTTCATGAGTTGTACGAGAACCAATTCCCAGGACTAACGCAGAACTTCTATATGGCCGGTCCCGGGCAGTTCCGTCCGTGGCCGTCACTACGGATAAAGGCAGTTGCTGATTGCTTTAAAAATCGCACTGCTGAGCAGCTTTACTCGTTCTTACGGCTAAAGCATTTGTTTACTGACCGTGCTGTAAGCCCAAATGATGCGAGGTCTTCCTGGGATACGTTCAATAACCTCTTTAATGCCCTTCCCTCTGGGAGCTGCGATGTGCCAAACTGGCTTCTGTGGGACATCTTTGATGAGTTTTTGTTTCAGATGACTGTGGTTTACCAGAAACGTTTTACTGGAAGGGTTGGATGGTCGGTGAACGAAGGAATGCAGCTGATGGAAAGAGTTGTCGCAGAATCCGGCATTGAGGAGGCTATTCAATCGGAGAACTTGGATGAAATTACCAAGCCAGGAGCTCGACATGCGCAGTGGATGTGTGGCTTTTTTGGAATTGTTACCATAGCCAAAGTCAATGTGCTCTTGGGCGACTATATGGGTGCGTTGAGTGCTTTAAAGCCCCTGGATGTTTACGGTCGTGGAAGACAAATCTTACTTGTGGTGGCTCCGGCATATGTGTCGTTGCTGTACCACATGGGCTTCAGTTATCTGATGCTTCGACGCTATGCGGATGCTAGTCGCGTTTTCCGTTTGAGTTTGACAACAAAGGTATCGAGCCGCAAATTTTCGGAAAAGATGCAGTTTGATTGTGCTTACATGCATGTTATCTCCTGTATTCTGGGTGGAATGCAGCCTGATAATTTGAGCTGGCTAGTGGAGCCACGAAAGCTCAGTGGATTTGAAGACGAAAAGGAGCTCCTGTCGGCAGGTGATGAAGAGCGATTCCGTGAAGTGTTTGATCGTTGTAGCCCGAAATTTCTTGCGATCCCCCCCATAACCACCATTATGTACAAGGGCACAGATGGCAAAGAGCTTCAGGCGCGTCTGTTCCGTCGAGCCGTGAAGCAGCAGGAGGACATCATTAAGTTGCGTGGATTTTTTGGCGTGTATCAAACCACAACGACGGAGCTTGTGAAAACTGTATTAGACGTGGATGATGGACACGTGCCTTTATTTGCGATGAGGCTGCGCTCTCGACAGCTCGTGCATGACGGGTCATCGGCGGACCTGCTCTCAGGGAGCTACGCCGTTCGTTCAGCCATTGACTACACCGTTAAGGGAGAAAACATCGATGTGGTGCAAAAGTCTTCTTACCGCACGACGGAATCCAAGTATTTTATGCGCATCAACAACCTGCGCCGGAGACAGAGGCATTTTGAGAACCAAAGACAGGAGAGACGCCAGGCACAACCCATCTCGGTCGCCAAATGATAATTTGTAACGCTTTTTTTCCACGCCGCATTTTTGTCGTTCTTGTCGTTGTTGTTCACTTCAAATCAACCATTAAAGGCCGCACTGCATAAGTAGCACGCCTGATCGTAATTTAAATCCTTGAATAGGCACTAACCCAAAGGAAATAGTAAAAACAAAAACAAAGGAAGAAAGAAAGAAAGAGAGAGAAAGGTTTTTTTTTGTCTGCGCATAACAGAGAGAGAGAGAGAGAGAGAGAGAGAGAGAGAGAGAGAGAGAGAGAGAGAAAGCGATCTGACATCTCTTTATAGCACGCCATGGCTGAGATTTTTGGTTTACTCAAATATATATATTTTTTCTTTTTCTCTCTGTATTTATTTTGTTTTCTCGTTTTGCAATTTGTCACTTTTCCACTGTCTTTACGGCCGTGGAAGTTGCTTGGTAGATGTTTCTGGATGAAGAACAATGTGTGCCTGAAGCGTGTCTCGCTGAAAATCCGGTGTCGCAGAAGACTTCTCTACAGCGACCGGAGGGGGAGCCGGACAGGATAGAGCAAAGCCTCCTTGGAGGCCATGGAGCAAAGGAGATACATCCCTCATGGCGTCGTGACTACTCTTCAGTGAATGCAAAGAGTCGGGAGGAGAACAAGCCCCGTTCGAGCCCTAGCGATTTGGCTACAAGTGCGATGCCAAACCATTGGGAGGATGAAAGAACAGGAAACTTACTTTACGAGTTGCGACGGATTGTCCCGCATCTTTCACCGGAATTTGACTGCGGGGAGCGTGACGCAACGTTGATTCTCTCCGCCATACGATCCGGCTCTGCCGCTGAAGGCACCGACTCTTGGGAACACCGTTTGTCTTCACTGGAGGCAGAGAAGCGGATGATACAAAGCAGACTTGATCGTCGGAGCCACGAGTGTGAGGAACTGAAAGGGACCGTGGCTGAACTGAGACAGAAACTTAGAGCAACGCAGGAGAATACAAATGCTTCTGTGAATGTGCTTTCTAAAAGACGTGAAGAGCTGCGAAAACAGCTTTTGCTTGAGGAGTCACGGAGCCAAAAACTGAAAATTCGTAATGGACAGTTGGAGATGGAGCTGGAACGGCTTAAAGAGATGTTGCGTTCACGACTAAGCAAGTAGATGGCGGGGGGACAATAAAAGAAAAATTACCACGTGGAGTTTTTTCGTATTGAATGAGGCATTAGGTATTTTTTTTATCTTTAGCTTTTGTTATCTGATTGTGCCTCACGGATGTTTTCAGCGTGCGCTTCCGCATCGTCTGTAGGTGCCATTGCGTTGGTGTGTTTTGTTGGGGGAGACACGGAGGGAAGGGAACATGCGGTTCGATTCCCTTTTTTTTTTTTTTTTTTCAGGAGTGTGTGTGTCTGGGGAGCGTTTTCTCGGGAGAAAAAGAAACGGAGAAGTGTCTGTTTGTGCGTGCTGGTTGCGGTCGCAAAATATATATATTTATATTTATATATTTAGTTTTTTTCCTTTACTTTTGTCCCAACAACATTCTCTCCTTTTTAAATTTTTATTTTCTTCTCTTCTCCCCCTTTGCATCCGCCGCTGTATGTGTAAACATGTATGCTTCTGTCTTTTTCTGGGAGTATTGTTTTACATTTTTTTGAAGGAAAAATATTGCTTTATTTATTATGGGAGTCACGCGGCAAGTACTGTCCGCAGGAAACGGGGTGCAGCCAAAGGCGGGCGACAAAATCACCGTCCACTGCACGGGGTATCTCGCCAACGGCAGGAAGAAGTTCTGGTCAACTTTGGACAAAAATGAGCCCTTTGACTTTCGTGTAGGGCTTGGGCAGGTGATTCGAGGATGGGATGAAGGAATGCTGATGATGTCGACTGGTGAAAAGGCTGAGCTCAAAATGTCTGGCGACTATGCCTACGGGAAGAAAGGATTCCCCGCTTGGGGCATCCCTCCAGACGCCGATCTTATTTTTGAAATCGAACTTCTTAAGATAAATTGAGATAATTACTGAAAGGAGGGTTGCAGTAATTTTTATTTTTCTTTTCTCCGGGTCTCTGCATGAGTGTAGCGATGGGTGTTGGACCTCGTGTGCCCGTGAGTGAGGTGGGTGACTGTGTCAACTTTCCCTCATGGAGCATGAGAGCGTGTCCCGGTGCGCGTCGGCCGTGAAAAGACTTTTTAAATTACGTCCCTGTTCTTTTTTCTCCCGAGAAAAAACACGAAAGGAAAATATCTTTGGGCCAAAAAGTGAAAAAAAAAAAGAAAAAAATAATAACAACGACAATAAAACATAAAACACAAGAAAAAAAAAAAAGAGGATTCAAGCGTCTCTTCGATGCCAATCAGCTACACCATAGTTGTTCCAGCATACAAGGAGTGCGGTAACCTGGAGGCTCTTACAAAGCGGGTGTTTGATGCTATCTGTGATGCCGGATTTGCCAAGAATGATGTGGAGATGCTCATTGTTGACGATAATTCGCAGGATGGCTCGGTTGAGGTTGTGAAGAAGCTCCAGAAGGAAGGATATGGGGTGCGCATTGATGTTCGGACGAAAGAGCGCGGGCTGAGCAGCGCAGTCATTCATGGTATTTCCAACTCCAAAGGAAAGTACATTCTTGTAATGGATGCGGATCTTCAGCATCCCCCTGAAGCGGTGCCTCGGCTAATTCGCGCCCTTGAAAGACCAGGGGTTGATTTTGTCTGCGGCACCAGGTACGGTGCAGGTGTAGCCATCGATGGCGACTGGCCTATTCATCGACGTGTCATCTCGTGGGGTGCACGCGTGCTTGCTCGTCCTCTGACACCCCTCAGTGACCCTATGTCAGGCTTTTTTGGCCTTCCCAAGGAGGTTTTTCAGCGTGGTGTAAGAGACCTGAGCCCTATTGGCTACAAGATTGCGCTGGAAATTTTTGTTAAGTGCCACGTACAGAAGTATGAGGAAGTGGGGTTTAACTTTGCCACTCGAATTGTGGGTGAGAGCAAGTTAACGGGAAGGGTCATAATTCATTACTTGAAGCACCTGCGGGCACTTTATCTTTATGCATTTGGCAAGTGGATTCTGCTCGTACCGCTGCTTATGATATTCATTTTTTTTTGGGCTGTGAAACAGGTCGTGTAGTGTCTTCCCGCGCGGGAATGGACTGCACCGATGAAAGGGACAAAAGCACAGAAGAGAAGTAAAAAGAAGGGTGGGAAGAGAGAAGAAAGCAGGCATATATACACATACATATGTATATAACAGCAAAAAAAAAAAAAATAACGAGTAGACACGCCTGTAAAGGCGGTGAATCGACAGGTGGGTGGGTATCATTTACGCCCTGTCGTTTTATTGTATTTATGTCTTTGGCATAATAAATGTTTTCTTTCTGCTCCTTCGACTAAATTACTTGACATTTCTATTTTATTGCATTTTTTAGGGGCACTGCATTAGTACAATAATGACTAGGGGTGATATTGTGGCCGTTTTTTGCGATGCACTGCACGAGCAGGAGATGGCCGCCAGGCTCACGCAATTGGCCAATTTTCCGTTTAGAATTTTTCCGGTGCGTAACGGCCCATCAATGTACCGAGCCGTGCGAACGTTCTGTGCCTCTCGCAATTGCTACCGTTGCGCTTTGAATCTGTGTACGGGAACCACAGAGGACGAGGATCGCGCGAGCCAGGCAGTCTTGGCCTCATTATTTGAACAACTGGAAGTTGTTTACTGCGGCTGTCGTTACATGACGCTGAAACAGCCGCTTGACGTTCTTTTTATGATGTGTGTTTATGCGGGGCTGCCCATGCCTCTCTTCTCCGTAGTGAAATCTGAGGAGGACATTGAGCAGCTCAGCCTGCGATTTCCTGTGA